ATTCTGATCTGGATATTTTACTACTATTCACATGTAATCTTTTAGGCCTATATGAGAGAGACTGTGATATTTTCTCCTATTTATGGATAAAACAACTGACATCCAGTGTCATATAATCCTTACATAAATCTCCCAATAGTTTGAGGTCAAAATTTTGATTTCAGGCAATATGATTTGTGTGATAGTCCCTTGACTATTAGGATGTTGCTTTATATGTACTGATTCTATGTTTTCTCTTCAACAGTCTTTCCTTTGTCTCATTTTTAAATTTTCACAAAGATTTTCTCAGTCACTTTAAAACCATCAATTTTATTGTATTATATATTTTTTCCTTAATTCTTTTTCATAGCATCTTATTTTTTGGATAGTTTTGAGGATAGTGTAGATTTTAAGTTTCCTATCCATGTTGTCTTAGAAGGCTTTCATTCTTTAAGCAGCAGTATTTTAAATATCTCAGATGGACGATTTCCAAAAAAAGTTGAATGATTCTTTCCTATATTTATTTTTACAGAAATACAGTAAGATTTGGTTGGAGTAGACTTCATTTCAGGTTGTTGAGCAGGTGAGCCAGTCTCTTCTTTACAAGACACCAAGTGTGAATACATAGAGGATTTCATTCTAATAGCATCCAATTTGGGGGAAAATGAATGGTTCGGTTTCTTACACAATAATATTGTTGAGTGTAAACTTTGTATTTGGGCATGGGCATTCCTGAAGCAGAATGAAAAGAAAATGACATGGCCTTATAGTACAGCAAATAGACTTTCATAATTTTTTTTGTTTCTTTTTCAGATGAATGCTAACATGTATCACTGTGAATGTCCCTAATTACAGAGCTCTAAGGTTGAATTTTTTCAGTTTCATATTAGGGAAAAGGAATTATAACCAACTGAAACAAAAACTTGCATGAATTTATTAAATAATTCATTTATCAATTATTCACTGAATTTACAATTTACCAGACAAATTCTAGCTGATGAAAATACAACATTAACAAAACCTATGATCACCAGAAACTGAAATTCTCCTTTGTTTTAAAGATTTCTTTTTAGACATAATGATGAATATTCTGTTGTTTTAGTGGTAGTGGTGGTTGTGTGTGATGTGAGGTAAAGACTGAACATTTGAAAAATACATACTCAATTTTATGTTAAAGATTCTTGTTTTGTATTGACTTTTTTGGTGGGGAGGGGTAGCGGGGATCGAACTCAGGTCTTTGCGCTTGCAAGGCAAGCCCTGGAACCACTGAGCTAAATCCCCAGCCTTTTTTCTTAAATTTTGAGACCTGGTTTTAGTTTCAGAAAACGATTTCTTTTTAAGTCACTAAAAGAATACTATCTCATTTAGGGAGAAATAAATTTTCTGCCTTTGTTTCTTTGAAGTTTTAAGGTTTTTTGCTATTGATTAGACTTGTTTATTCTCTTACATTTTCTCAAAGGAGATATCTTTATCTTTATATGTGGAGAAGTCAGTAAACTGCACTTTTTGTAAGATGGAGTGTTTGCTTTATGCTGTAACGAGTCGGTTTCTATGTCAGCAATAGATTTTGAGTATAGTAAAGTTCTCAGGAAAGTGTCTAATGTATTTGAGACAAGGTGTGAACATGATGCTGAGAGTACTGGATATATTATCACTGGTCTGCTTCTCAGGACCTAGAAATCATGCTCAATCTGAGAGTGTTTGGTCACAATTGCCACTTTGGACAGCAGTGCTAAGCTCGTAGCCTGTATAGTATTTTTTTGTCTGTGCTCTGAGAGTAGGCAAACTGACATTTAACTAATTTTAGTTGGACTTCATTTCATGTTTTGTTTTCAGGATTCATCTAGGAGAGAAATGTTTTTGTTTTGTTTTGCTATTGTTTATATTTTTATTTTATATATTTTCTGTGTTTTACAAAAAGTTTTCTGGCTTCTTTTATGCTCTTCCACTATTTTGAGTAGATTTTGCTCAAAATCTACAGCTATTCACTTTATGCCACTACACTGTCCTCAGACTCTTGTTTGGTTACTCTGTGCTTCTCACTACAGTGCTTTAAAAATATGTACAGCTTATGCTTCCGTTAGTCAGAGGGGAGATGACAGGTTACTGGAAATTATTTTCTGGTTTTCATATCCTTTCTACTTTTCCTTTCTCATGAATATCTTATTATACCTGTCAATTTTCAATGAGTATTTTAAAGTTATATAAGAACTATTAATTTTAGTATTGTTTGTTTGTGCACCCTGTGTCTGTTAATATATTCTGGGAGGTGAATTTATATTGTTGCAATCAAATCATGACTCTTTATATTTCCCATCTTCAAATGCAATGTTTTGTTTTTGTTTTCTATTTTAGACACTGTGTGATATGTTAAAAAATATAATAACCTTATGTGATTTCTTGCGATATATATTTAAATTATTGAAATTGAGTATTCTTATGATTTGATAAAATAAAGAGGTTGAAAGTCCTTTTTAAACCATCTGTCCGGAGGAGTATATGATAAATATATTGTAAGTTCATTTATTTCTGAGAATATCTAGGCATTATTTGCACAAATGTGCAAAAGTCACTTGCAAGGATATAAAGTTTTTGGTACATAAACAAGTATTTTAGCCAATATTTTATATTACATAACTGCTTGGTCTCAATTCCTATCTATACATATTAGTTAGATTTCATTTTTAAAAATATAGCTGGTGACAGAGAAAAGGCTGATATGAAGATTTGATTAATGTTCTTCTTCCTCTTACTCATTTTTGGTTACCTCTAGAATACTGTTAAATTCTCCTCAGGTCCAGCCCAATGGATAAAGCTAAAATTCCCTATGTTTGTAATATTCCTTAAAATCACTTGCTTTTTAAAAAATCTTTAAGGAAGAAATTAATTCCACTCTTAGTCCACAGTAGCTCTCATGTAAAAACTAGGCAATATTAAATACCTCATAGAAAAGTACGGGAAGGGGAAGTGGGAGAAGTAGGGGAAAGGAAAGAAGGGAATGGAATTAACATGAGAAAATGCAAAAATGGAAACTAAACCTTTGTAAAGAGAGGGGTGGAGGGGTTGAAGAGAGGGCAGAGGAATGGGGAAAATACGAATCAAGATATATTATGTAAAGGTACAAATCTCCAATGATGAATGTCATTATATTGTATACCTAAAATGTACCAATAAAATTAATTTAAAAAATGAAAAGTAGTGTGCAGTTTCTGGCAGAAGCAAAACATCTGAAAAAGATACATTTAATCTCTATTTTAAAACATCTAATTCTATCCATAGTTATTCAGCTTGATGAAGAAAAGGCTTCTAAGAACTAATTTGTCTACCCCAGGCCAAAAGCATTATAACTTCTATTATATTAGGTAAATAGATTAAAAGACATATATTATAAACTCAAGTTAATAAAGTGAAAGTAAAAGAACAGCAATTGTAAATGAAAACATAAAAAAATAAACAAAATATATATACCTTAATTTTATATGGAATTGTATTTGTCAGAGGTTCTTGTAAAAACATCACTTTCTAATAATGTTAAAATAGTAATATTAATGTAATTGCCTTGCTAATATTACATGTGTAAATATGGAAACAATTTCTTTGGGGAAAATGTTTAATACATTTACTTTCTTTGATATGTAGACTGCAGGTTGAGAATAATAAAATATAATTATTTGCTTCCTTGGGTACTTTTAAGGTTTTGCTCCTCTCTTTCAAAAGACTGGAATTCAAATGTATGAAAACTCTCTGAGGAAATTATGAACTTTTTAAATGTTAAAAAATCAAATACAGAAATTCTCAGGAGGTTTTTACAAATTATAACACTGAAATACATTGTGATAACAATATCTGTCATCCAAATTCAATGTACTCATTGTGTCACCAAAACTGTATGTGTTTAAACATGGTAAAGTTGTACTTTATCAATGAAGAATGTTTGGATTTCTTAAAATTTTTCATAAAGCATTTATAAATCTATGAAGAAGTCAATTTAATGGCTGAAATGTATTGTCATTTCAAAATCCACAATAATGCAATACTCATGTTACAAAAACAAATTTCACTCAAAATATAAAGAAATGATATAAAGCAGTTTTCAAGAAAATCATGTTTTAAGGGTAGAACATTTAACAACTCAAAGTGAATCTATCTTTACAAATTTTTACTTGAATCTATCTTTATAAATCCAAATTTATATTCTGTATTAAATTCCATCTAGAAATACATTTTGTAAGATGGATATTACCATAGTAAGAGATTTGCTGTAAACTGATTTATGATACATTGTATATAATTTTTATTCACTGAACTTGCTAACTTTTCATGTTGCTTGCACATATAGAAAGAGAACAAAAATGTCAGACTAAAATTATTATTTTAATAACCTTGTTAGATTATGTATAATTCTAATATATATATATATAATATATATATAATATATATAATA